ATGATACTATATTTGATATTTTAAAGAATGTAATGAGATTAAAAAAAAATTAAAATATAAATAAAAAAAAAGTGTAATAAGGCCTCGATTGGGGACATGTTTTTTTAAGTAACTTTTTGATTTTTTAAGTAAAATATGATGTAAAAAAAATTAATATGTTTGGGATAATTTTTTTTATTTTTTTAAGAAAATATGTGTAAAAAGTAAAAAGAAAATGAAAATTTTGACTTTTTGATATATGTCGTTGGTTTTTTAATTTTTTTAATAATTTTTTGACTTTTAAATTAAAAAACATGGTGTTACCAAATAAGACCTTAGATAAATGTGTGATGTAAATGGGATCAACTCTTTTGTCAAGTCGTCCTTCCTAGCTTCATTTGCCCTCGCTTGTAAAAAGCGACTGTAAACAAGCACAAGTAACTCAATTGTATCTGCAATGCAATTTTAGTACTAGTGATAATGAAAATAGATGAGAAATAAAAATTGGGAATCAAGAACTATTTAGAAGTGAATATTTTCGTTATTTATGATCAATTATTACAACGATTGGAGAGATTGGAGCCGATGTGATTCGTTGAATTAAGATAAGGTGACTTAAGTAGAGGAGTGTATTTGGAGTAGTGTGCGATAAACAAGGACCTATTGGATTAAAAGAAAAGTTCTATAAAACAACTATTAGACCAACGATATTGTATGAGACGAAATGTTGGACAACTAAAAAATAATATGTAGATAAGATGAGTGTTGCTGAGATGATAATTCTAAGATGAATGTGTGACAAAATTAAAAAGACAGAGTTGGAAATAAGTATATTAAAAAATGAGTAGGAGTAGTATTAGTAGAAGATAAGTTGAGAGAAAATAGATTGAGATGGTTTGGTCATATACAACAGAAACAGTAGTGGAGAGATGCGATATAGTGACGATAGATGGTAGTATTAGGGGCAGAGGTAGATCTAAATTGACGTAGACTAGTATAGTAAATAGATATATAAATCTTTTTAATTTGATTAAGAAATGACCTTGAATAAAGTCCAATAGAGAAAAATAATTTATATTACCGATTCTATTTAATGGAATTTTGGTTTGATTTGTTTTGGTTTTGGTTACAAGTAATCACTTTTGTAATTCATTTGTTTTTGTCCAGGTCATTTCCATTCCCTTTTTTTTTTTTTTTTGGACCTTTACTTATAAGCACTACCAGTTGCAAGCTAGCACTAATAACTTTAACTCACTTTACAATCTATCCATTTTTGTCCAAGTCCTTTCCTTTCATTGTTATTTATATTCGAAAAATTTTTGGTAACTTAAATTTGTGTAGTTTAAATGGTTCAAATGTGTCAAAATGACATTATTTTGAGACATTTAAACTATTCGAGTTATGAAAATTCAGGTCACTTACCTTTGTTGTTTATTTTCACACATAAACCTTTAGGCTTGAACACTGCCTATTATTCCATAATCCTTTGTTGGGATTGAACATATTCTTTAGTACTTGAAATATGCAAGGGGCCTAAACTTTGGCCCCGACGTAGGTGTGGTGACGTTTCCTGCAGATATACTGTAGGTGTTAATGGACAATACTCCCTGACGGATATGTTAAAATAGCCTATTTGTATATCTATTTTACATGACCAAAGAACACTGCCTAAAAGCAAAGCACAAATAACTCAACTCATTTCACAATCCATCCAATTTTGTCAAAATCCCTTTCATTCCTTGCTTATTTATATTCAAATGCTTTCCAACCTCCTCCCATCCCCACTCCTAAGAAAAATAATTATATTTTTTATGGAATTTTTTTTTGGTGAAATTCTTAAGCAATTTGTCTTTTACAAACTGAGTTTTTACTTCAAATTAAGTTTAAGAGTAATGCTACATGCATGAAAGATAACACATAAAAATCAACGTGTAGCCCAAATTCACAATAAAATTGATAAAATCACACTCATAATGAATATATTTTTGTACATTTCTTTTACACTTTACTGCATCGATATTTTTATGTATTTCTTTTACACTTTACCATGCACTAAGACTCTGTTTGGTAAAGGCTAAATTTTGTTTTTTTTAATTTTTTTAATCTTTAAGGAAATTTTTACAATTTTTTTTTTTCATGTCTAGTCTAAAATGATTAAAAAACAAATCACTAAAGACACACACACAAAAAAAAAAAAAACTTATTTTTTGTTGCTTTTCTTTTTAATAGATTTTTAAAAAAAATTATTTATGAGTCTTCTAATCCAGTAAAACTTAAAAGTTAAAAAAAATAGAAGTTCATCAAAAATCAAAAATCAAAAATCAAAAATCAAAAATCAAAAAAATAATGTTAAAAAACATTTATTAAATGAACTTTAAATATAGTTTTTCATCTTAAAAAAGATACAATTGTGCTATATATATGCACATAAATCATTCTCAAAATAATTCACAAAGGCATGAAAAGATGGGGGATCTCAACCTCTTTTGTCTCATTTCTTGCCCTCTTATGCCTTGTCTATGAATCATCCTATGAACGATTTTCAATTTAAATAGCTTTACGCCAATAGAAGTATTGTAAGTTCAAATTCTCCACAATACTAAATTTTTTTTCATAATTCAACTTCAATAATTAAGATTCACCTAAGTTACCATCTCACTTAAAAATATGTAACATAAATTTTAAGAAAAATGTTTGGTGGTCTGAATTTTTGTAGCTCGAATAACTCAAATATGTCAAAATAATATCATTTTACATCATAAACGACGTCGTTTTAGATGTTTCGAGTCACAATTTTTCAGGTCCCCGATCATTGTTGAAATTTTAAAATTTTGACAATTTTTTAGATATTTTTCTGGTAATACGTACAGACTCGCTCGGTTAAATTATTTTACAAGGAGAAATAGAAGTCCAAATAATTGCCCCAACAGTTGAAAAAGTACACCCAATGTGGGGTCAGGGGGTTTGCAGAGCTAGAAATCTCCAATATTTATATTCTGTTGTCGGCCATGTAAATGGTGGTGAAGTGAAGTGGTGAACTTAAACACTAAAAGACAATTATTTAGAAATTTTGCCCATAAATTTATTCAGAATGGTGATTCAATTATTATACTGTGAGTTTTGTATGATTTAAATGAAATCTTGTTTGGGAATTTCTATGCAAGCTATCTTTCATTTTTTTAATTTTTGTATTTTTAAAAAAAATTATGTTAATTTCTTTTACTTTTTCAATCCGTTGTAAACAAATTTAAAATGTAAAATTCTTTTCAAAAAATCTATAAAAAAAAAATTCAAAATAAGTTAAAAATTTCACTATTTTTTCCTTATTTTTTTGGAATTTTTTAAATCTTATTTAATTTTTTGGTTCGGTTCGTCTAACTGAATCTACAAATCTAAATTTGTTTAAAAATTTTTAAAAAAAAATCTTTAAAAACGAAAAGAAAAAAAAATCCCAAGAATTACACAGTGAAATTTTTGAATAGAATTTCTGATTTTGTAAGATTGCTAGAACTTGAAAAGAAAGAGAGCAGACAGAAGGTGGGATGATCAATCAAAATGGCAGCCTTATCCTTCTTCCCACGTGCATTTCTTCATCTTCAACCCCACCACTCCTGTCTCTTTTTCAATTTTGTTTTTTACAACATATATACTTTCAGTACCGTAATAATATTGGAGAGCTTTTATTTTTTATTTTTATTCTAAATTATGAAAATAAATTTATTCACATCACATGTAGGTTCGTTTTTATGAAGTATATTCATCTTATTTAAAAGGCTTTGTATCGATCTCTCTTAAGATTCAAAAAAAAATACAGTGAGTCTTAATTTTGACATAATTACATTAATTTCTCTTTCAGTAATACTAAATAGATCAAAACTAATACAAATTATGCAAAAATACAAAAATAAATAATATAAACTCTGCATTTTCATGTTAAATAATATAAACCCATCAAGTGCACGATGTACATACTCATAGCCCACATCCATAACTCTAGGACCACAGCATCTTTGGATAGAAAACAGTTGAAACCAAAGGCAAGATGTACTTCAACAAAAGAGGGTTCATCAGGGTTATGGGCTACAACACAATTGTCAATGTCCACAAATGTTATTTTACAATCAATTATTGCTTAGGCCATACTTTTAATTGCATATTGTTTTTACTTTTTTATTTTTTGTATTTATTTCTCTTTAGTTTTGTTTTTGGTTCCTTGATGAATTCCTACACAATTGATATAGGGTTTCATAGATTATATCCCCTAGTTTGTGTGAAAATGAAATTTGATTCCAAAAATTTGATATAGCCACCCCTTCTCCTCCACCAATTACAGTCCTCTCCTCTCACTTTCTTCCTTCCTCTATAACTCCTAACATCTCCATTATAAGAATACAAAAGAAAAAATAACAAGTTAAATAAAACATAGTTCAAAAAAGTTAAATAAAACATAGTTCAAACATATATATAATAATTATAAATATATTTTATACAATTTTTTTGTGTTTAAAGATGTTTGGATGTGATTTTCTACCATTTTAATGTGATTTTGTGTTATTTAAAAAAAAAATGGAGTCAAAGTTTCTTTAAGTTATGGTTTACCAAACCAACCATGGTTTGTTAGCCTCTCGCTACCAAACATTTTAAAGTTGCTTGGACAACTAAGGCTGAACATGATAAATTTCGTCAATTTTGCTTTGTTCTGTCTGCCAAATCCAAATAAAACTCGAACATAAGAAAAAAAAATAAAGTCCCAAAAAGGTTATCTTCCATCGGAAAGTGTGTGGGGATAGCGGGGAGAATAGGGAAGAGGCTAGTATTCACTCAACCTGCCCAAATCACTGGTTTGAAACTGTAAAATTGTTCAACCAACTCGTCAATTTCAAGGATGAGCGGTTAGAAAACCATTAATCTACCAGGAAACCAGGTTAGAAAACTATCAATCTACCAGCATTAGTTTGGTTGATAATTTTTTCTCAAAACTGATTCAAATCGACATGCGAAGAAAGGGCATTATCATCATAGAGAATAAAGCATGAAACAAAAGTGTTTGATTAATGTCACGATGATTTACAATGTAACAGATGTTTTCGAAATTTGCCAACAATGAGCCAGCCAGCCTTGAAGCTGCATTCAAGATTACAAAACCAGATAGACAACTCACTTTTGTTCAAATCTCTCCCAGGGAGTGAATGAACTGAGACAATCAATCCATTTCAAAAGCATCAGATTACATCACCATGAAAGAGTTTTAGTCTCACTCTGAGAACAATTTACTAAACCAAGCCTTCACAAAGCAAAACAAAAAAGTTGCAGCGTTTTTTTGTCCACGATTGTGGTGATGAGCATTTGAACCATGCTTATTCAACCACATTGCTCCCACCCCAAGCAAGGAAGCTCTCTTGCGATCCAAACTCCTATAAAAAAGTACATGAGAAGTTTATCAATCAATAAAACTCAAAAGCAATATAGTGAAAAAATGACGAGTTCAGAGTAAGAAAGAAACACAGGAGAAGAGAAGACAAAAAGCACATACAAGTTGGCTCAGCCGGAAATCAGGAGGCGTATCAAGTTCTATATTTGCCGGATCAAGGACCAAATCTTGGCATGCTTCTAAATCCTTCTTCAAAAACTCGGGTCCTAAATGAGCATAGTCAGAAAGGCAGGGCTTGCCCTTTAATTCTTCATTTTCATTTCCATCCCTATATGGGGACTGGCTTCGGAGAAGTTCATCACACAAAGACAGCGCTTCCACGAGTTGCTGTGAATCTAACAGATTCTGTGATTCGCTGTCCCACCATTTTGGGTCGTGCCCGTTTTGATTATCATTGTTTTCTACCATTAGGGAGTCTTGACACTCGGATTTTTCATTTGCAGCTTGCACCTCATCTTCAACGTGCCACATCTCATGATGCTGAAGCTTAAATGATGACGGGCAGAAAAGCACATGTATCAGTTTCATTTTCTATATCAGGACTGATGCGAAATGCATATAAAACTTTTCTTGCTTTTGATAAGTAGAGAAGAAAACATATTCTCCACAACCACCTTATTCCAAATTTCAGGTGTTTGGTTGAGTTTTAAGAACTTGTTTCCTGATTTTTTTTTTTTTTTTGAAGAATTGTATACCAGTTTGACAAAAATAAACACTAAACAAGATAATTTGGAATTTTTGAAAATTATTTTCGCCCCAAAAAAGAAAAAAATCATATGAAAATAATGAGTTTTTTTATTTTTACTTTTATTTTTTATGAAACTAGTTTTTGAATTTTTTTGAATTTATTTTTTTATTTATTCAGAAAACAGATCCTAAAAACTCAACAAACAGATTAACACATTAATACTCAAACAATCCCAAAGTACAGTTTAATGGCATCCTATGAAAACTTGATTGGCAACAAAACATTTTCCCAAGGAAAAAAATGTTTGCTGAGTCAAACACCAAAATTGATTTATTATATGATATTATATTTTCAATGCAAAATGAAAAGAAAAATTGTATGGCCAGGATGCCAGTGATGAAACGATCATTTTACCTGCGCATTGGGTTCGATGCAAGTAACAGTGGGCTGTTGTATTGGGTCCACATCAGAAAATCTCCTGTCAATACGAGGTGGTTCAGGAGTCGCAGATTGCGGAGTGACTGGATCCACTTTTGCAATCATGCTGTCAGTTCCTTCGGGAAAATCTTGCTGAAAAATTTCATTCAGCTTGACGACTTGCTGTTGCTGATAAAAAACCTTGGAGATAACATACTCACCCTCTTTTTCATCTTCTCCGGTGCCAAAGTGATACTGATGCATCACCCAATTGGTTTTCTCCGCTTTCCCACCCCTCACTGGGCTCACATAAAGCACCATAATCTTCTTACAACCTGTTTGAACCCCGTCCAAGATAACAGGTTTGGTCCTACCGGTCTTATGCCAACGAACATCACCAAAATCATCACCGTGTATCTTTCGACGCTTCCGAGTTCCTGTATTATAAGCCTTGATTGCTCTATGAAAGAAGTGAGAAACACTTCCATCTTGCTTAACACCTATAAACTTCTATATTTAGAACTTGAAAATACCTAGAGCTATATAAGGATCATAGAAGAAGAGGTTATGCTAAATTCTTGTACTGACCTGGCAAATTTTGAGGATGGGTGTAGCAAATTCCATCATCTTCATCCACGGTCAAAATGAACTCATCAATAAAAGGATGGGGTTTCATATTATCAACACCAGCTTTTGCAAGTAAATGCCATATGATCTCTTGATCAGATGGATCGAATTTCACACCTTTGGGTAATCCTGGCCACTCTTGAGTCACCTGAAAACACGATGAACATAAACATAGAAAATTAGGTATAAAGATAATTAAAGCAAAACTAGATAGAATAGAAGAGTACAAATCTAAAGAGCAACCAAAGGTCACCAAGAAAATATATGACCCAACACATATCTCAATCCAAGGACATAAAGTGTGTCAAAAAAGCAAAGCAAAGCAAACCAACTCAAATATGTTGCCCTTCAGCTTGCTCTGTTTTAGCCTTTTAGATTGACCATTTATTTGCTTAATAATCTAATTCAATAGAAATGTACTTCACTGAAGTTGTTCATATTGGGTCAAATGTCTGAAGACTCTGCATATAAACTGGAAGCACGGCAATTCTCATATCAGGTCGATTACATGCAGCATCAACTCATCAGCCACAAAAAAAAAATCAGATCCAGGGTCATTTTTTTACTTGTCATCTCGTGGAACATCACATGTTATTATTATCCCAACAAGCTGACTTATGGTCAGGTCAGGTCAATAAGCACTTTAAAAACCTAGGTACAGCTCCCCTGCCACCAGTCCAGTATAAATTTCTAAAGAAACACTTTGGTACATGCAAATATGCACCATTTGGTAGAAAACCAAAACCCATGTGAAAGAAAACTTGTTTTATTCAAATGGAATTTGCTAAATTTAAATGGCTGAGCTAAGGAACGATAACTTGGAAGCATATTTTCAGAACGGCAGTGATAGGTAGCTCGAAACCGAGCGGCTTGAAATGGCTTGAATTCAAAAACGGCCTCGTTTTTGAGATGAAGGTGAAGCAGAACCAGAAGCAGGGGAGGGAGGAGGAGGGGAGGAGGAGGAGGGACTGGAGGGGGCCCGACATTTGGGGCTGGAAGCGGGGGCCGGGGGGCGGAGGCGAGGCAGAGCCGGCGATCGTTGGTGCTGCGACGATCGGCGGCAGCGAGGCGACGACGGTGGCGGTGGTGGTGGCGAGGCGAGCAGCGACGATCCTCTCTCCCTCTTTCTCCTCTGTTCTTCCTCCTC